ATTTTCAACTAGTGTGTCACAAAAACTTTTACAACATGCAATACCTGACTATGTGTCAGGGGCACTGACCTCTTTTCCTTTAAATTGTCAAATTTAAAAAAAAATTATAACAGCCAACTTAATAATAGCCATATGGTGTGACTGAATCAAAATTATGCCTATATTTTTTGTCAGATTGCAAAAAAAAATTTATTTTGGCTATGTCACAGAATTCTAGTAATTAGTTTATGTGTGCCATGAGCTGGAAAAGGTGGAAAATTGCTGGCAGAGAGCATGTTATACATGCTTAACCAACAACATTGGGACTTTCTAATTGTATCAGGCCATCCCTTTGTCATGGAATGTCGCCTCACCACCCAAGGATGTTCCCCACATTAGAGATGTCTCAGTACACAGCATTGGCAAAGCACGTGTACTCACTCACCCTGTAATGATTTCCCTTTTTGAATACTGGGTATTTTATGTTTGTTTTGCATGTGAGGAAAATAAGGCAAAGAAAAACTGTTCTCTCTGCCAAGAGGTCTAGAGAGAAGAGACGGAAAAACAGGGAACACAAATTTATTTCCCAATACTTGACCCTCATTTGCTCCCTTAATTTCTCAGTAGCATTAGAATGTTTGTTAAGTATGTATCCATATGTTTTTGTCTGTTTGCTTAACAAATAACAATACAATCACACATTGTCTTTAAATTTTTTGAACATTATAGAGGTAAAGCATAGAATTTTCACACTAAACATAAGAACTGAAAAAGAATGTGAAACAACAAATCACTGACAGGTCCGGTCTCTTGCCATTTGGAAACATCATTAAAAAATGTGAGGTTAAGACAGCATTACTTTAAAACTCAGCAATTTCCTATAAAACTTCTCAAAACTAATTCTATTCAGTAGTTTGGTGGTCTCCTATTTATTTGCTTTTTCACTCCCCAAACTCCCACAGATGATATCTTTTCCCCAGTATTGAAGCCTTTTGCTCAATATAATTGTTTTGAGTCTTCCTTGGTGTTTCAGCTCAACTATGACTTATGAATCAGTTTTCTGATGCTTTCTAGTGTGCAAAGCAGAAGTTGTAAATCAGCCAGGTAATTAACTCCCAAGCTATAGGGATAGTATTTAGCACTCTGTGTCTATCTAGAGAGGACCACCATTTCACATTATTTTTTTTGTTAAGCAATATTGGAAGATTTTCGTAGAGTAAATTTAATATTTAAATGATAATCCTACATGGTAATTAGTTGCCATGATTCATCATTATTTTCACTTTGCCATTCTTAATGAAATTTTTTCTTTTTTCTTAATTTTTTTTGTATTTTTTTCCATTACCATTTAGTCACCTTTCACCCCCCGCTCCCCAACAATCACCATACTATTGTCCATGCCTATGAGTCCTTTTTCCTTGTTGCTCAATCCCTCCACCCCTAATCTCCCCTCGCCTTTAGCTGTTATCCCGCTCTCTATCTATGACTCTGTCTTTATTTTGCTTGTTAGTTCAATTTGTTCATTAGATTCCACATATGAATAAATCATATGGTATTTGTTTTTCTCTGACTGGCTTATTTCACATAGCATAATATTCTCCAGGTCTACCCATATTGTCACAAAAGGTAAGATTTTCTTCTTTTTTACAGCCAAGTAATATTCCATTATGTAAATATCCCATAGTTGTTTTATCCACTCATCTACTGATGAACACTTGGGTTGTTTCCATATCTTGGTGATTGAAAATGACACTGCAGTGAACATAGGGGTGCTTACGTTCTTTCCAATTAGTGTTTTGGGACCCTTCAGATATATTTCCAGAAGTGGAATTGCTGGGTCAAAAGGCAGATCCATTTTTAATATTTTGAGATATCTCCATACTGCTTTCCACAGTGGCTGCACCAACCTGCATTCCCACCAACAATGCAAAAGGGTTCCCCTTTCTCCACATCCCCACCAGCACTTGTTTGTTGATTTAGTGATGGTAGCCATTCTGACAGGTGTAAGGTGATATCTCATTGTGGTTTTAATTTGCATTTCTCTGATGATTAGTGATGTTGAGCACCTTTTCATGTGTCTATTGACCACCTGTACATCCTCTTTGGAGAAGTGTCTATTCAGGCCCCTTCATTCTTAATGAAATTAAAATGGGATTCATGATTTCTTTCCTATGGTGCCTTTTCCAGTCTGCTTTTAGTTACTTTTTACCTGCCCAGAGCACCTTGGCACTTTATGTTGTATTCAGCATCTCTATACCTTTGTTTTATCAAAGCACTTAGGCAACAAACTACACAGTGAGTCTTATTTGTGGACTGGGGGGAATTATAATTGCATTCTTATCATTATTCTCATTAGAAGTGAACATTTCCCTGTAGTCAGGATCCTAGTGGAGCCTGGGAAAGGAAAAAAGTTTGCTTAGACAATAGGCCCCTGCTGCTATAAAACTAAGCTACTGAAAGTTAAGCAAGTTAAAATATTTTAGCATGCCATCATCTCAACCAAAAATGCAACCCTTGCATGAGAGAGCAGCGCTGGTCATTTTATACCTTTGCCTTTTGGGACTGCCACTGGATCAGAAAGCCACAGAAGCACCTGGAGAGGAGGGACTCATTTCAGAGAATTAGCATCTTACCAAGAGATATGTAAACACACACAGCGAGACTGTGCTTGAGGCCTCCACTACTTCATTTCCATTCTAATCACCCTTGATTCTAATAGTTTATTAGTTCCTGGCAAGAATCCCATTTTCAACTGTAATTCCAGCCCAAGTATATTTCCTTTTTGATGTCATTTAATGTTATTCTGTAAACTGAGAAATGGTCTAAAACCAAATGGCAGCTTTGTGGTGTCTGGATGCTTTCACAATTCTAATTCTGAAAATGGTTTATAAAAATAAAATGTCACCGATTGCCTAAATTTTGAACAGATATAATTTCAACCTAAGGACCCTGCATGAGTTATTAAAAACATAGGGATTTTTCTTCCAAACTGGCTCTACTAATGACAAATGGAATAAAGACTATGGCACCATTTGTTTCAATCACAGTTTCTTTGAATGCTTGCTGTGGATGGTCCTGTGAAAGAATAAAACAGTTAATATTCTCTTTGCCTGAAGGTTAGAAAATGCTGACTGTGATTTATTTAAAAAAAATAGACAATGTGTCAATAATAATCATCTACAAATAAGATCATACTTGTAAGGTGTGATAGCCGAGAATATCATTAGCTGGATTGCCAGTACTGGACACCCAGGTGTCCCTAGACATCCCCACAAGGCTTCCACCCACGTGCTGACATTCTCCTTTATCATCATTTGTCAGATGCAGTACCTACTCTGTACCACTTGTGATTGGCTTCTTCTGCTTGTGCTCCCACTTGCCTCAGTCTCTTGCCTATGAAGCCTTTGGAGAAGCCACATCCCCACACCCTTCAGTAGGAGCATCACCTTCTGGCTTGTGGTGCTATCTGGAGAAACCAGTCCTCAAAGTGCCAGAACTTCTCTGGGTCCTAGTTAGACTCAGACAGGATGTCCTAGGTGTGGGCCATACACCCTCACCTGAACACAAAAGACCTCTGTTTACATTGGGCCCCCTTCAATAATTCCAAGAGCTTCTGCTTGTCTCCAGGTTCTCAGAAAATCAGGAAACCAATCATGAAAAAGAATTCCATCATATTCTGATCCTCAGACTCAGCCAAATAATAATCTTAAGGATAAAAAGAAATGAAACAAGGCAAAACAAAACAAAAACCATACTTTCAATTTTGTCCTATCATCCTGTTTTTTTGCTTCTGAGGCTAAGTCATAAAAGGCATCACAGATTCCATCATGATTTTTGGATGGCTATCATGTCGTGACAACACTCAAGCAGCCTCATGTAGAGCCCCATGCAGGGAGAAGGGAGTCCTCCTACCAATACGGCAAGCACCAGTGTGCCAGACATGTGCGTGAGTCACATGGGGGACATCTTTCAGCCCCGTTCAAGGCTTAAGATGACTGCTTCCCCAACCAAAGTTTGACTGAAATTCCAAGCCAGGTTGCTCACCAAACCACTATCAAGTTCCTGCCACATGGAAACTGTGCAAGTTAAAAAATATTTGTTATTGTTTTAAGCCATTTCATTTTGGCATAATTCGTTACATATCAATAGACAACTAATACAGCTGTTTCTGTTTAAGTCCTTCATCAGCAACATTTAGCCTAACTTTATTACTAAGGAACATGACTACATCAAGTGGCCTATTTTAAGCTTAAATATTAGGCAAGCTTGTGCATCCAAGGTCCCTGTCAACAGGATTCAACAGAGTGAAGACACAATTCACAGAATGGAAATATTCACAAGTAACTGTCTGATAAAAGGTCAATATCCAGAAAATTTAAAGAACTCCTACATTCAATAACAACAGCAGCAACAACAAAAACCTGATTTTAAAATGGGCAAAGGACTTGAATAGACATATCTGCAAAGATATACAAATGGTTAATAAGCACATGAAAGGATACCAAACATCACTAATCTTTAGGAAAATACAAAACAAACTCATTATAAAATACTACCTCAGACCCATTTGGATGACTTTTTTTAAAAATAAAATGAATGTTAGAAAGGACATAGAGAAATTAAAACCCTTGTGCATGGTGGAAATGTTAAATGATGCAGCCTCTGTGTAGAGGTTTCTCAAGAAATTAAAAATCCAGCAATTTCACTTCTGGGTACATACGAAAAAAAAGAGTTGAAAGCAGGGATTCAAACAGATATTTGTACACAAATGTGCATAATAATAAAGTATAGAAGCAACCAAGTGTCCAATGACAGATAAATGGATAAGCAAAATACAGTGGATTATTATTCAGCCATGTAAAGGAAGGAAATCTGAAAGATACTACAAAATGGATAAACTTGAAGACCTTATGCTAAGTGAAATAAACCAGTCACAAAAGGACAAACACTGTACGATTCCATTCACATGAGGTACATAGAGTAGTCAAATTCATAGAGACATACAGTAGAATGGCAGCTGCCAGGGGCTGAGGGAAGGCGGAATGGGGTGTTAGTGTTTAATGGGTCTGCAGTTTCAGTTTAGGAAGACAGCTTCATCCTTTGCATCACAAGCCATTCCTCCTTCATGGCAATGAATGTCCTCTCACTAAGCTTCCTGGCTGCATACTTACAGTCTCTCGAATGGCAGCAATGTCAACATCCTCATGGTCAGTCACTTGTTCTGGGAATCCTATTTGAATTTCACTTTCAGCATTATCAACTTTGAGTTTTTGCTGCTCTTTCTTCTTTTTTGGCCAATTCTGCCTTTTCAGTTATCCATTTTTGTGAAGTGTCGTGAGGGTTCTTGATGGGAATCACAGGTGCAACACCACCGTGTGCTTTGCTGCCTGTGTGCGAACTGGGTGACAGATGGCAATGACCAAGCCCCAACAGACTTTAAAAGAAGTGATGCAATTGATCGCTGATCATACTGTGTATCTTGTGGGAGTCAAAAACATTGATAATTTCTTCCACCTTCTAAATTCTGCTAGGGTGGGCTATAATAATGAAATTGACAAAGACAGATTAACAGGAGAAAATCAAGTTTTAATACACACACATTGGGGGATTCACATAAGCATGAAAATTCCAAAAACAGTGAGGCAACATTGGATACATAAGACATTTTTGGACAAAGGAGAAAAGGATGGGGAATGGGATCTTAAGTTTCAGGAGTAAAAGTGGGGGATTAACAGGTAGTTGAGGTAGAGCAGGTCTCAGATGGCAAAAAGTTCTTGCTATGCAACACGGGAACAATGGGACACAGAGGGTATCTGGCTAGCAGCCCCTGTTTGAAGTCCTTTTTCACATTGTTCATTCAAAGTAGGCTAAGGGGAATATCCTAGGATTTCTTTCCTGAAGTAGGTTTTTCTGTCTGAATCTCTTAGACAAGAAAAGGTGGGGGGTGGGGCGGGAGTGTCAAAAGTTCTTTCTGAGTCTTGCTTTTTAATAAACAGCTTAAAATCAATATCTCAATATCTCAGGGCAGCTTCAAAGTGTTAAAACTTTGATTCTCTTTAATCTGTAATTTATGTCATGATTTGTGCTCTGAAGAGCTAACAGCAACATTTGTTCTTTATGCAGTTACTCACAGTTAATATATCATAGTAACTGAAACCCGAACTGTGTTGTTGGGTGCATGTGAATGTTACTAATGCCATCAAACTGCACATTTAAAATGGTTAAAAGGCAAATTTATATTATTATACATTTTACCACATAAAAAATTAGGCAAACTGATTTTAAAATTCATCCACAAATGCAAAAGACTAACCAAAACAGCTTGGATAAAGAACAGAGTTGTAGAGCTTACATTACCTGATTTGGAGATGTTAAAAATCTATGGTAATCATGACCATAGGTATTGGCAGCTATTGGACAAATGGAAGAAAATAGAGTCCAGAAAGAGATTCTTGCATATGGTCAAACACTTCTAGAAAAAAATTGAAGAAAAATTGTGAGGTTAGGCAAAGGTTTCTTAAATATGACACCATAAGCACTGTCCCTAGACAAAAATTGGTAAGTTGGAACCAACTGAAATAAAGACCTCCTGCTCTTTAAAGGGCATTGTTAAGGCAATAAAAAGACAAGACATGAACTTAGAGTAAATATTGACAGATCAGATTTCTGGCAAAGAACTTGTATCCCAGATATATAAAGAGTTGTCAAAATTCAATAATAAAAAAAGTTCAAATTTTTTAAAGATTTTATTTTTATTTAGTTTTAGAGAGAGGAGAAGGGAGGGAGAAAAAGAGGGAGAGAAACATCAATGCTTCTCGTGCATCCCCTACTAGGGACCTGGCCCACAACCCAGGCATGTGCCCTGACTAGGAATTGAACCAGCAACCCTTTGGTTTGTAGGCTGGCACTCAATCCATTGAGCCACACCAGCCAGGGCTCAGTTTTTTAAATGGACAAAAATCTTTAAACAGATACTTCACCAAACAAGATACATAGTAAAATAAGTACATGAAAAGACATAGCATAATTATTTATAAGGGAATATAAATTAAAATTATAATGAGATACCACCACCCACTTTTAAAATGACGGAAATTAAAAAGACTGACCATGCTGAGTTTCTGGAGAGGTTGTGATGTAACTGGAATGTTAATGGAAATGTAAAATGATACAACCACTTAGGAAAACAGTTTAGCAGCTTCACTTAGAGTTAAACTATGGAGCAAATGACCCAGCCAGTCCACTTCAGATACATGGCCAAAGTAAGTGGAAGTCAGTATGTGGACAAAGACTTACACAAGATTGTTTACAGCAGTATTATGTGTAATAGCTCCAAACTAGGAATAGCCCAGATGTCTCTCATGTGGTAAATGGATAAAGAAATTGTGGTATAGCCATAGTAGGGAATCCAATAAAAAGGAATACATGCAACTCCATGGATAAACCTCAGAATAATTACTCTGGTGAAAAAAGCCAGATAAAAAGACCACATATTCTGTGATTCATTTATATAAAATCTAAGAAAATGCAAACTTAATTGTAGTGACAAAAAGGAAATCAGCCTATAACACCCAGAACGCACCCATATGTAAACTATGAACTCTGGGTGATTATGATGTGTCAGTGTAGGTTCATAAATTGTAACAAATACATCACTCTGGTGGGGGATGTCAATCATGGGGGAACCTATGCCTGAGTGGATGCTAAGAGTAGATGAAAAAATTTCTATACCTACCCTTCGATTTTGCTGTGCCCCTTAAACTGCTCTTTAAAAATTAGTCTTCATGAGGTAAGATAGTAAGAAGCTAGAAAACTTCCTTAGCAAAAGTAATGGGGAAACTGAAACAAACAGCTGACTTGAACCGGCCTCATCCAGCACCGTGACTCACGAACCTCCTGCTCCCTTGCACAACCGATGAGGCATTAAGTCCTCAGGACCACGAGGTTCTTCTGATCAGCCTCATATAACCTTAGCAACAAGGCCTTGGGTCTGCTGATCACAGAGACAGAATTTTGGTCAAACTATAGATAACATCCAGGCCTTAGTTTTGTTTCAGCTCCAAGCCCAGAAAATCAGCAAAATCAAGTAAAGCAGCCATGGCTGGCATCAGGACCAGACGCAGTGACCAAAGAATGGCCGCCTGCCTAGTGCCAATCAATCAGTACAGACCATGACCCTGACACAAGGTGCTCTTTTTGATGTCTCAGACCTGGAAAGCTGATGAATAAGCTGTTGAGATCCTCCCCTGAGACCTTCCCTAAAATACCTGACTTTAGAGAACAGATAAAAACCCTTGAGACAAAGGACCCAGCATATGCTCTCTCTCTCAAGCATGCCTGCACCTTGCTACTTCAGGCACAAGAAGGAAGGTCTTCTTTCCTTTGTATCTTTGCTTTCCTTCTCCTAAGCTCTGAGGGCCCTTATTTTGCTTCTGAAACTTGTTTCCTGAGTCCATGCAGCCCAGTTGGCTCACTTCTTCTGCCTTCTTTCCTCTCGTGCTAGAGTTCGTGGCTCTGAATTGTTTCTTGCCAAACTCAAAAACCAAGGTTGCTGAACCAAGAGTCGATATCACTGCCAACATTAATAAAAATTTTTAAAAAGTGTAGTAGATCAGTAGTTGCCTGGGGTTTGTAAAGGTGCCAAAGAAAGGAGATATGAAAAAGGATTTCAAAGAGGCACGCCGAAACATTTAGAGGTGATGGATACATTCGTTATCTCGATCGTGGCAATGGTTTCACTAATACATGTGTCAAGATGCACCAAATTGTACACTTTAAATATGAGCAGTTTATTGTGTATCATTATTCCTCAAAAAAACTATTTTTAAAATTAGGCTTACATGCATTTTTAAATGAGGTATGTAGTTACATAATTTGGCTGTACTAAATCCCATCAGACACACTACCATAAGTATCCAAAATATTTGGCCCAAAAATGCAACAGAGATATAATTAAACTACAGTAAAACAGCAAAGAGCAGGTAATCACTTGCAAACAGCTCACACAGACTTTGAGGAAAAAGAAAGGAAACCGCCTGTCAGTGAAGCCTCCCTTTCAGTGCCAGATTAGCCTTCCCCTCCGTCTGCTGAAGGCTTCCCACTGACTTCAAAGACGTCTTCAGATCAGAGGAGAAGGCCGGACTGAATAATTGTAGTGAGGGAGAGGCTTTCCTAAAGAGAGTCTCTTTTGAGCTGTATGCACGCTGACATTATCGCATTATCAATGATAAGAGGGCTTTGGGGTGGGGCTCTGGAGCTACTAAAGTATTCTTAGGCTTCAAAGAGAAGAAGAGAAATGCATTTAAATCAAAGCAGAATTTTTGAAGTCATGGGAGAGTGATGCAATTCCTTGATAGAGTGTGACAAACCCTTCCTGGGTGAGCCTGGCTCTGCTAGCTACCAGCAGTGTCTGGGGGGAAAGCACCAGAGAAAATACCGGGGCGGGAGGAGGGGAGAGCTGAAGAAAGAGAAATAGACGACTAAATCCACTGTAATACAATAGCTTAATATAGACAGCAGCACAGCATGGGGATTGGGGTCACGCCAGTGCACATGTAAGCGCTGCACCCTGCACAGAGAAACAGAAGCGCGCTCCCGAGGTGAGATGGCCCAGATAACGCACAGGCATGGGACAGCCTCCTAGCCCGAGAAACAATCAACTCTCAAATAAAATGCCGAGAAACTGAATGAGGATTGTGTTTTTTAAATAATCGAACAGTGGGATCTAAAATGTTGCTGGAGAAAAAATAATTAGTGGATCGATTTATGCTGTTTCATGAACGAGCAGGTATAATGGAACAATCTGTTTTCCTTGTGCTGCGCGATAAAGGTGATCAGTCAGAGCTGGAAATCTGTTCTTATGAACTGAAGCAGAAGTGTGACTTAATGCTCCTGGTAAAATATCAATTCAAAGACCTGATGATTATTAGCAGTAAAGAGAGATTTAGTGTTGGATTGTGCGGAGAAAACAGGACTTGAATTCTAAAGATCTCTAATATAAGGCTGAATGTGTTAAATTAAGTGTGTTAATACATTTCAGGGCAGCACAAAGAAATGAGAGATAAATAGCAGTTTGGGTTGAATAGTGGGACATGTTCAGATACACAGGGAATCACAGACGAGTGTCATAAAAATAGAGGATGTTATCAATGCCTTGTGTGTAGAAGGTGCTCAGAATAACAGTTCTCATTTCATTTATGATTCCAAAAGTATAAAGGTCTGCAGCTTTTAAAAATAGAGAAACCCTTTACTTACTTTCTATACAAAAATATATTTTTTAAGTATGCCTCAGCTCCAGTAACTACCTTTCTTAAACTTCCATGCTGTGAATAACCCCAGCAGGTAAAAATGTCCTGAGTCCACCTTGAATGGGACTGGGCCTTTCCCCCCAATCTCCTTTGTCCACACTACACTCAGAGGCTGGATGGAGCCCAACCTGAGGTGCAGAGACAGGAAGCCTTCACCTACTTGTGTTCAGACTGATGTTAACAGTAAGCCCTAAATTGCCCCTTCTAGCTATGCTGAGCCCTCCCTTCTAGCTCCCAAGTAGCACTGCTGTTATCTTAAGCGATATAGCTGCTTCCCTGCTTGCTTCACAGCTAGGGGCCAGCAGGATCCCACCTGGGAGAAATAGAAAATCAGTGGGACTGTGTGCAGCATGTGGAGATCAACGGTGTGTTATGGCAGACTTCTCTGCAGAGCGCTTGAAACTTCCCTGGAATAATTTCCACGGAACCAAAATATTCACTAGGTATTGGTGACCGCATCAAAATATGACAGATTCTGCATATACAGTCAGGTAGTGAATTCAAAAGTAATCATGGAGCGCAATATTGTATACACTTAGTGTACATTAGAAGTCAGGTTACCAGATTTAGCAAACAAAAATATAGGACACCCAGATAAATTTGAATTTTGGATTTTCAGTATAAGTGTGTTCCATGTGTTAAGAGATCAACTGAGGCATATTAAAAATGTTAAGAGTTTATTTAAGCAAAACTCAATTCAAATTGGGCGACATCAATCTGTAGATGGTTAGGAGCGCTCCACCTTCTAAGTTCTTCTGGCTGGGCTAATAACAAAATTAACAGAGACAGATTAACAGGAGAAAAGTCAAAGTTGAATATATGCACTTAAAATCAACATCCTCAAAAGCACCTTCGGTGTGGCAAAGTTTCAGTCCCTTCCATGAAATTCTTTATAGTGGCCAAAGAATGTGAAAGAAGTCAATTAAATGTGCCATCTTCCATTATCGGCTGCACTGCCGTCACCCGAGTCTTTCCCACTTCCTTAAAATCCTCACTGTGCGTGGCTGATCTACCTGGGCCGTGTTTGAGAGGTGTGGAAGATCACCTGTCACCCACTCAGCTCTTTGTGACAGAGTAGCCAGTGAGCCCAGGGCAAGGTGCCAGGTGGAAGGGGGAATCTGGGGACAGGAAATAGAAGTGAAGGATGAATGTGTGAACACTCACCCCTGGGAATCCACACATATCTCAAGGAAGATAAGAATGTGTGATTTGCGAGTGAAACAATTTTATTTAAATCTCTAAAAAACAGGAATCCCAGCTAAAACCTGGCTCTGCATATACAAGGCAACTTTTATAGATCCAGCTTCTGTTTGGGAGTAAACAATTTTGCATATCCATCTTCCAGTGTCTATACTTTTTCTTTCCTCTGGATAACTATTTTTTGGACATTTAGTGCCTCCATCAATGTCCATTCAATACCAGGGAGACCTCGGAATGACTTATTTTTCTTCATTACATTCTCTGGCAAGAGATGTTATGGGGAAGTCTCGGTTTTATAATTCCGTAAATGTGTACATAGCTATGAATGTTTAAGTGAGGAATATTGCTTTGTCCCTACCCTATTACCTCCATGTCTTTGCATGTGTATATATGTATCCCTATGTAAATACCTCAGTGAACTCAAATGTGTATACAATATACTATTTCCTGGAGTGGATGAGTTTATTCTATATCAAGAAAAGACCCGTGAAACTTTCCTTGCAACTGTTTGTAATACTTTTCAGCTGTGGTTCCAATGTTTTCCCAAAAACTAAGTGCTGACTCGTGATGCGACTGGCAAATTAACACAGTGTATTGTTATTGCCAGAATGATGACTTCAGAATGGTATTATTTGGCATGGACTGTTTGGGAGTGAGGACTATTCCTTGACTATCACAATCGACACTTTAGAAATTTCCTCCTGATGGGAAATTCCACTCAGAAAAGTAGAGTATCTGTAATTGAGGATGCCTATGGGGCATCAAGGATATTAGAGGATGGTCAGGATGTTGTATTTATGTTTAAATGCTTATAAAACACTCATTGCTGGAAGAAAACTAGCTATTGCAGTTTTTGCAACTATTATGCTTTCTCTTTTCTCATCTCCTGTAAAGCTACAAAAAAAAGGAATCTACAATTTCACATTATCCCTGGAAATGTCCATGATCCTGCTGCATTCTTTGGAGTGTTTGAGAAGTCAGCAACCCTAACCTTCGACCAACTCTATTTCAATTTGAAAAGGACATAATGCAAAAGCTACCTGGCTAGTCCCCTGATCAACTGTACTACACCTTCCCTGATGTTGTTGACACTTACTCAGGCTAACATTTGTCATGACCCTTCCAACCATTTCCAAGTGAATGCATCTGAGCTAGTCAGTTCTTCTTGGAGTTTCACAATAATATCTATTTCTATTTTTAAAACTCAAAGCAAAACAATATCTATCCTTTAACAACAGCACTTTAAAGGAAATTATTCCTGTTTCAGTGCCTTTATTAGTAGATACAGGCCATGCTAGGAAATTGTTCACACTCATTTTAGAATATGATCTATTATTAAGCCAACAATTAGCACTCCCAGATGAATACACACCTGTGCTTGGAATCATTTGAGGTGCTGGGCGTTTTAATTTAAAAAAATATCCATTCCTAACTTTATAGCATTTACAGCCTTAAATGATTATTTACCCAAGTCACAATGGGTCTTAGCAACAAATCATTTTGGGGGATGAATGTGTCCACTTAATAAAGTCACTTTCTCAATCCTCCTAGGTAACTTACCTCTTTGCCTATGCTTTTTGCTACCCCCCTACCTTTATTCACTTTTGTTTATCAGAGAAGAATAAAGTAAGTGAAAGTTAAATATTTTCACTTTACATAATAATTAAAGTTTAGGATAAAGGTTGGAGCTACAGCCTAAAATCTAATTTAATATAAATAAAGTCTTAATATTATTGACTAATTTTTTCATTCTGTCTTTTTGTTAATTATAAAAAATTTTCTCTCCAAGGACAAATGGAAATAAAGTGCATTCATCCAGAACACTTGTCAGAATAGAAGGTAAATGGCAAGATGGTACTGAGAACACACACTTACATGTTATATAAGTGTGTGGTACCTGGTACCATCCCAGACCAGGAGCCTCAAAACATCATTTGCTTCCTTTTCTTTCCCCAGACAAATCAGGCAGTTCAGAGTCTGTGGCAAAGGCTAGAATGTTACACAACAACATCGACTCTGAGCATCTGTCAGGGTAAACTGGAGTCAGAGGAGTGGGAAGTGTTTTGAGCAAGGCAATGTCTACGGGTGTCATGTAAACAATTCCTCACAGAACAAGTCTTACACTTTTGGTTCTAGGAATCTTAGAAAGAAAGGAATGCAGAGGCAACCAGGAAATCGGGGTAGTCTTTGTGACATTGTCTCTTCTCTGCATCTTACTGTATCAATTGAGCCCTGCTTCGTGCCCACCATTGACCATAACTAACCAAGGAATCCATAGGGGGTGAGGAGATCAGATGGGAGAGAGGCCCATGTGGATACTTGTGCTGGAGTCGGAGGGACAGAACAAGAGAGGTGCACAACCCCATTAGAAAGAAAATATTTGGAGACCATGTCTCCAAACCCAGCAGACCTCTGGGCATGGTGCCAGGCCTTAATTAAGATTTTGCACCAAACTTTAAGGTAAAGTATTTTCCTAAGTATCATTAGTTTTTACTTTAGACACGTGTCTGGATCTTCTTAAAGTTCCCAGCCTTTCTGCTCATTTTCTCTTCCAATGCATATGAAAAACCAGAAAGGGTGAATGTTCACACCAAGTGGGCATTTAAGGAATTTTAAACACAAAACGAGGAGAACCATAGCCTATGGGACACCAGCCTATGAAACTGACCTGCAGGTTGGGTGCATGAGAAGTGATCTCTTCAAGACAATGCAGTTGTTTTCTCTACCGGTTAGCATCACAGAGCTGAAGAAATGTCCTCTGAAGCCCTTCTCACGGACCACAGGAACGATGCAGCCCCTCTGCAGCCAAACCCAATACCCAGGCTCTCTGATTTCCAGTGCTGCACACTTTCTAATAATAATAGCTCTCATATTCATAGTTGCCTATTAGGTACTATTCTAAGCACTTTACATTGTTACTCTATTTAATCCTACAACCACTCCCATGATATAAGTACAGATGAATGTATGTACTTTCTTACGTGAGGAATCTCAAAACTGATAAAGGGGCTGAGCTTCCCATCCTGAACCCGTACACTCTCATGCCCCTAAGGAGTGTATCATTTCCCTTCCATCAACCCTCCTCTTCCTTCATCCCCTGGGAACACCTGCAGCGAAGACTAGCTACTTGGTGCTTCCCTTCGCCCAACTTCCTTGTGCAGTAAATTACTAAATTCTGCTTGGTATTCATGTCCCATGTATAAAGTATCATCAGAACACACGGTCTGGAATTTAGCAATGTTGGGTTCTCCCTGTCATTGGGAGAAAAGAATATCAGCTTGTGTGTCCTCATTCTTAGTAAGATCCCTGACTGTTCATTGAAACAGTTTAATCAATTTCGTGCCTAACAGGAACTTTATTATCACCAGTTTCAACCCTTTTATTTCTATGTGAAAAATAATTTTTATAATTATGCAGTAACAGGAGGGGTGAGAAAGTTGATATAATTGTAAACTGAATTTTTCCTGGCTCTGATCAATTATCTACTTGGCAACTCACCCTATGCCAGAAATAGAAATGCATGCAAAGCCTTGGGCTAATCATATCACACCTTTTATAGTTATGAAAACTCTTATTGTTAGTAAGCCGCCAACAGGAGCAACCTGGGTTTGCGTGATTTCTTTTACTTTTCTTTTTTCAATTTCTAGTACAACTAAAATCACCCTTTGAGTGCACAAACCAATAAATGACAATGTTTTCTGCTGCACAGAACCTGAAGCGGGTGGCCGAGACCTGGATGGATGAATTTGCCGAGTACATTTACCAGCGACGCCCAGAGTACAGGCACCTCTCCACGGGGGACATCTCTGCCCAGAAGGAGTTGCGCAAACAGCTCAAGTGCAAGGACTTCAAATGGTTCATGGCTGCAGTGGCCTGGGATGTGCCCAAGTACTACCCTCCCGTGGAGCCCCCACCCGCTGCCTGGGGAGAGGTGAGGATCGGCTGTGTGAACCCTGCTCTTACTGTAGTGTAACCGTCTCTCCCAGCCTCAGGAGGTGGGAGGGGCTGCTGAAACCCTCCACTCCTTTGCCCAGAAGCAAAGTCAGATTAGCTTAAATCACCTTGGCTAAAAGAATGTTCAACCTTTGTAAAAATTGCTGGGAGTGAGCATTCAGCCTTCAGCCTTGGTAACCCCACCTAGAGTTCTTGGTCACTGTTGATGCCCCAAATGGATGGTTAAATATACCTGGAAAGTGTTTTTACTTGAGATTACTGAGATTACCGTAAGAGTTAGTAGACAATGGAAATACCTGTCATGCTACTGCATGTGCAAGGGTCCGTGATAAAATCCCTCACTGTCCTCCATGCACATGTTGCTATTTGGATATGCAAGGACACGGTTCCAGAGGGGCTTGACCATCTTCCTGACCAGGGTGTGCTATGCAGAATCGTGAGGAAATTCCAGAACACCCAGAACTGGGACACGTGCAGGAGCCCTGTCCATTCCTTAAATGAGCACTAACCTTTCCACCTCTGAGCCCTTTACATATCCCTCTTTGGCACAGAAAGGACTGTTGAGCTGGTTCAATTCCATTCAATCCTCTTACTGTCACTTTTTTGCCACAGAAGAGAGTATGCTAAAGCAAGAACCGAAACTGGATAGGGTGGATAGGATCCCAGCAACTTAATCTGCTTTTAGCAGAAGGTCATTAAGCCAAGAGTTGACTGTTGGCACTTGCTTTGGAGGACCCTTTTCTGCAACGTCCTTGGTCTGGTGGTGTAGGGCAGGGTGTGCCTTTGTCTGGTTAGTGTCTGTGGCTTGACAGAGCTCTGAAAACAGGTGGCTCCAGGGCATAGTAGGAGAGGTGAGGAGCACTTAGGCAGCATTCTTGGGGGAACTCTCCCAGCTCCTGTAGATAACATGTTTATCAAGCTACCTGTGCACTGCTTGTTTTGCTGAGAGAGTCCAAAAAGAGGTCGTTCTTTATCTGTCTCTGATAGCACAGCCATAAATGAGTCAAGGCCATCCCCATATGCTCCACCTCCTAATGTCTTTTTCACATGTGTGTGGCCCTGATCCTGGAAGCTGAAATCAGTTAGTAATTTGGTCTAATCTTTTGCATCTTAAACATTAGAACTCCCCTGGAATATTAGTAATCTTAATCTGCTGGTATTGGTTTTAGATATTTATCATGGGCTTAATTTACACCAGCAGAAATTTAAAGTACACTCCAGAAAGAACTTCCTCAGTCTAACACAGGATGTCAAACTCATTTTCACCGAGGGCCACATCAGCCTCACTGTTGCCCTCAAAGGGCCAAATGTCATTTCAGGACTGTATGTAACTACTCTATAACAGTCAAGCAAGAGTTCAGCACTGCCGCCTGGTAGAAACAAGGTGCCAGGTGGGATAAAACAAGGTGAAGGGCCTGATTCAGCCCTCGGGCCTTGTGTTTGCCACCTGTGGTCTAACACATTGTAAGACAAAGGGATTTGTTACCCAAAAAGCAGGTGAGTTCCTTCCTAGAGCTTTTTTGATTAAAGTTACATCTGTCATGTTTCTATGCTAATTACAACGGTCTTGCATTAGTAACTGAGAAATACTTGTGAAAACCCTACAGTATTGTTGTGTGATTTGCAGCTGGATTAAAATCTCATCAATCTTTTCCCCGCCTTATATGGAAATATAAATTTTTATTCCTACCTGGTTACAACTTTAAACTGCAACTGGCCACATTTTTCCACATTACCTGACTAAACTGTAACCAGTATTTCCAAAGCACCTCACTTGGAAACAGACTCGAGCTCCCATTGAGATTCTAGAAAGCCACAACTTCCCAGGGATAATCAAAATAAGATCCATTTTAGGGGAAAGCAGTGTATGCCAGAGTATTTTTACCCACTGCTCTTGATTGCCTCACACCTTATACGTGGCTTGCCTGGCCTGTAGGGATATTTGCATTCATCATTCCTGATCTAAGCAATCAAATTGAGAAGATCAGGGTGTTTGTTTGTTTTTTTTAATGTGATGGCAAATTTCTCTCCTTGGTGCTTCAGAAAATGGGGAGCTAGGTCAAGGGCCAGATGTGTTCAGTCACATTTGCTTAGTGAAGGTGTGCTGCAGAGCAAGAATGAAGACAGAGATTTAGGGAAGGCAGAATGAAAGGAAGTTGACACGTGACAAGGGCCTGCCTGGTAACTCGTTTTGAACACTATCTATTTTCTAAGCAAAATAGATCCCTGAGAATGAATGTAATGCATGTACACTTAAATCAAGAGACAAGTGAAGAATTTGAAATGCAGTTTAATCTACACGAAATGCTTAAGAAGAAAGACTATTTTCTAACTATTTACTGGGTGATAACACCTACTTCTTAATAGTGGACAAAAATTACCAAATGTGCAGAATATACCTGCTGACCATTTTATCTCCAAAAAAATTTCTTTCAAAGTTTTCACTCTTGTGTTTTCTTTTCCCTTTGAGTGGGCTTTATAGAAAATAAATGTTTTATTTTGGAATAATTTTAAATTCACAGAAAAGTCACAAAGTTCACCTATGCCCTTCACTTCTTCTAATGTTAACATCATATGTTTGCCACATTAACCACAGTATATTTGAACTAAGTGATTAACATTTGTAAAATACTATTACTTAAACTACAGACTTTATTCAGATTTCACCAGTTGTTTTACTAATGCCTGTTTTTCTGTCCAAGGATCCAATCTAGTATTTGAGAGGACTGTTTAATTTCCTATAAACTTTAGTTGTTAGAATGGGCAAAGTTCCTAAATAAATGTCAACTGCTGTTTTAGTAAGAAAATCAAAAGGGAAATGCAGACCGTGTGGGGTTTTTTTAAAGCAGCTATAGGAAGGAACCACAAATGTCCAGCAAAGTAAACATAAGAATTCTTTATGGGAGACCTGTGCCAAGAAGCAGGGTAACTTGCTGTTTTATGCACTTGTACTTGGAACAGCTTTCCACCTGCTTTTCTGTGCCAGCTGGATTCTGGATAAACAAAGAAGTGCTTAGGCAATTTTTGGCTCTCGTAGTTGAAACTCGATTTGTAAAGGATATGTTACAGACCTTAAACAGCTTGTAAACTGCTACTCAGTACCCTAACAAATTCAGCTGCATTATTGCACTAGTCTCCTAACTTATCTCTCTGCCTCTGCCCTTTTCCCCCTTCAGTTTAGGCTCAACATAGTCCACTGAAAATGGTAGATAAGGCCCCTCCTCCATTTAAAACCTTTCAATAGCTACTTCTCCCTTGGGGTAAAAAACAAATCTCTCTGATGGTAAAAACCAAAGTCCTTATCAACACCATAAATGATCTGACCCATATTGCAACCCCTCTAACTTCATATCTTAGTATTAGCCCCTGGCTTACTTTTCTCTAGGCACACCGGTCTCATCATTGGTCCTCCGACTGGCCAGGCACAGTCCTGCCCCAGGGCCTTTGCACTTGCTATTTCTTCTTCTTAGAATCCTTGAATCTCAGAAATCATATGGCTCCTTTCCTCATTTCCTTCGGGTTCTTACTCAAAAAATCATCTCAGTAAAGGTCACTCTCTATTGTGTGTAGCAATTAACAAACACATGGATTCTCATACTTACACACTTCCAATCCCCCTTCCCTGCTTTGTAGCTCTCCTCAGCGTTCATCATTATATAACAAGCTAACTAATGTATGGGTCTACTGTATTTCTCTTCTATCTCCCCCAGTAGAAAGCAAGCTCCATGACACAGGAGTTTGTTGATTTCTGGAGTTATTACTGCCCTTCAACAGCTTTAAAAAGTGTTTGGCATGTAGTAGGTGCTCAATAAATATTTGTTCAATGAATGAATGGAGGGTTCTGACTCCCTATTGTTCTCTTACCCATTCACTGCTATGCTTACACACTTTCGAAGAGCAGGCATACTGAGTGTTCACTGTGCTTTACCACATGGGGAAAAGTTTCCATATCATCCTCTCTCTGGCCACACAAAGTCCACCTCATTGGAGAGCTTGGCCAGGAAGACAGTTTGAATAATGCATTTTGGGTAATTGATTCTGATCGACTGTCAGATCTATGGTCCACATGATAGTCAAACAAGACATGGAATACTCTCTTTGGAAGCCCTAAGAGGGAAAAGGAAGAACTCCAAAAGTAAGAATTTTCTGTTCTGACAATTTCCAAACTCTCCCGGTCAGCTTCCTGCTTAAAATACAAAAATATACTAAAGTCACATCTGATAGAGAATTTCTGTCCAGAAGTCATTCCGTCCTCTGGCACACAAGGGTCCTGAGTGGAGTAGGGAGGATACGGGGCCCAAAGAGAATAAATGAAATTTTGAGCTGTGTAATAATTCCAACATCCCTTCGTGCTATTCACATAAAAGCAATATGCGTTTCCATGATGCTGTGTTGGATGATAGGGTAAGGGTAGATTTATAGTGGAAAACTCCTCTTAAATCATGCATGTATGGAGGATCTTTTTCTGAGTCAAAATGCTAAATAAAAGGAACAGAATCTCTTATTATTTTTTTTCTTACTCCTTCCCTCCTTAGAATTCATGAATTTGCAAAGTCATTTATAGCACTCCTTTATAGTCAAAAAAGAAAACTTCTGCAGAATCCCAAATACCATGTATAAGAGTGAATAAAAGTGGTAAAATAGACAAACATGCCTTTCCCAACCTGCGCCATAAATTCTTTTATGAGGTGTCTGCTCACTGTCCTCAATGTGCCAATCTTGGCCCATCCGTGTGTCATCTTGCAATTGTGCAGAACTTTTTTTAAATCTTTATTTTAAAAATTCATCTCAATGCCGAACTACTTCGGCTGCTATTTAAATTCCTTCTTCAAGATTAATGTCACCCTGAATTATGGAACATTCACAAAGACAGGCACCCTAAATAACTCCTGGCCTCCTCCTCTGGTTTGGGGTGCTCTCATCTCCTTTTAATTTGCTTCCTGTCTTCTAATGTACTTACCGTACACAGACTCTTTA